GTTTCCTTCTCTTTTGGGATCTATCCATCCAGCTCTCCTTTATATATATGGGTTTGGGGTTTGGGAAAAACAGAGAACTAGTTTGATATTCTCTTCTGTGAGCGACGAACTTACTGCCTATTCCTATCGACTTCTCTCATTATTTTTTTCTCCTGATACACTGCGTGTGCAAGGAACACTCTAGGGTTCTTGGGTTACTTTATGTTAGGAACCACCGCAATGGACACCTTCGTGGGTTACCTCGTAGGACGACTTGAAGTTGGCGAAAGAGTGGCTGCGATCTGAGCCTACTTCATCAATTGAGCAATTTTTCTTTTAATTCTTTATATATATTTATGTTTTATATTCTTAACCTTTGAGTTTAATCCGCACTAATTATTTGGTTGAGAATCTGTGCAGATCACCCAACGTTAAGGAAAATCGAGAATCACAACAGAAATCTCATTGTGCTTATTAATCTTCAATTTCTAATGAAAATCAATGAGTTGTTATATATATATATATATATATTGAAAGAATATCTATATTTGTAGAAGAAAGTTTAGAATGATGGTAATGTAGAAAGTTTAATGTAGATATTATATTGGTTTTTAGTAATTCTCAATAAATATTCTCTTTGTTATCAGAAATGGGTTTACCTTGCTTTTATTTGAGTCTCCATATTTTGGATTGCAGGGCGGATTAGTTGAAGTTGGATTGGTTGATGTTGATCTACTAATTGTAAAATTGAATGGAAGAAAGTCATTTCCATTTGTTGCACTGAGGTCCCTTAGGCCATATACCTATTGCACACCACTTAGTGCAAGTAAGCTAAATATTCAATATTTGGTTCGTCCATGCAACCAGTTCAACCAAAGAATCAATATTTTGACTCTCAACCGATAAAAAATTCAAAAAAATGCAATCATTTTTAAAGGTGTAATTTTTTACTTTGTCTAGGATGTCTCATTTGACGTGTAATTACTTTTAGCGTGATGCCTATAATGTACTGTTACAGGTAAATGTACAAAAACAATAGTCTGGTTGCATAGATCTGCAATTGTAATTTGGATGTACTGTGGTATATGAACACGATCAACGGGTATATGACAATCCTTTTTTATATATGATAATTTGATGACATAGATTTTTGAAAACGTAGCAGAGGCACATGAGGTAGTGTATTACCACCTTAACAAATTCAATATAGTCTTGATAATTAATTATCAAAATGGGAGAAATACTTATCATATTGTATTGCATCCCTTAGACCCATATGCAGGTAATTTATAATCTCTTATTATATTTTGGAAACTATCAATAGTCCTTTGTCATTCTGTAAATCCTCATAAGCATTGAAGACATTCTAGTAAACATATATACTGACTTAATACTCATGCATATATCCCCGCTTAAAATATATACATTCAGACATGTTGTCAATGTAGTCATGCAAGGTGGTTGTGATCATTTATGATTTTGACATACCGTGATACGCATCCTTTTAAATTAGGGAATTAATATTTGTTTGTTTTAACAACCTTATGCGGAGCATAAAAAACAAGAGGGATGATAAATAATACATAAAAGAAATATAAATAGTGTTACAGATTTTTTTGGCTTGTCATTAAAAAGTGTGGCATGAGCCATTAAATGTAAACATACTGTGCTCAAACCTTTCCATTGCAGCTAATAAAGTAATTGCTCTAACCGAGTTCCTTAATTGTCCTCCATTAAGAGATTGGCTGAAGTCGACCACATTCAAGTATATCTACTACTACACAAATAATACCTAAGCAACCACAAATCATACATTGATTGTTGGTGCTCGCACCCAGTGCACATTGTTACATACCTCCATTGAGTATCAATATACCCCGGAGCATTTTTTACATACCTGTAAAATGATCTCATATGCTCTGGTAGCTACTATCTATGTCCTGGTAACCCGTGCTTGGGAAATCAACTGTTCTCGGTTCGAAATATTCAATTGCTTTTTATAACCAGTGATAAATTCATCATTGTAGTGTTCTTGCGAATCTTATAATTGTAAGGTAAATAAGACATATTTACCATGGATGGCTAAACGAGCCAAAAATGACTTGGTTAAATTTTGTTGGTTGTTACTTATACATATTTTGTGGTCCTGCCATTGAAAAATGTGGCATGAACTATCGAATGTAAATGTACCATGCCCAAACTTTTCCATCGGGGCTGGGAGAGGAAATACTCTCACCAAGTTCGTGAATTGGCTCACCCGCTAATGGATTGACTAAAATAAATCACATTCATGGATACCTAGTACTACACTGATAATACTTAAGCAACCGTCGGTGTTTGTACCCGGAACACATACTTGCGTACCTGCATCAAATACTGACATACCCTGATGTAGATCTTACGTATTTATAATATTGGTTTTATATGCTTTAATAACGAGTATATACACCGTGGTAAGGCCGTAACCTATGCTTGGGAAACCGATTGTTTTCGGTTTGAAATATTCACTTATTATCAGTAATCAAGGATTAATTCATCATAATAGTATTTCTACGACACCCTAAATTGTGTAAAAAGGAAAGCAACACATATTTACTATAGATGGCTAAACAAGTCCGAAATGACTTAGTTAAATTGTATGATATATGTACAATCATAGTTCAACCTTCACTTTTATAGGAAAAATAAGTCATAAATGACTAAGTTAAATTATGTTGATTGTTAGAGTACATGATTCCTTCCATGAATTGAAAATATTTAGACTTATTACATAGTAATTCACAACATAGCACACACAACAACATTCGGGCAAGAGCATACTTGCATAGGGCATGACTCAGCTAAATAGGTGAATACTTCATCGTGCTCCAACATATTTCTCATTTGGCTTAGTGTACAAAATTCTAATAATTGTGTACCTATTGCAGTCTTTCATGTAACTGAGCAATGTAATCATATAATAGAGAATGTCATTGAATGTGCTCTCATTGAGTTGTTTTATGCATTTCCTTTCAGAGGACTCTTGTCATTGTAGGAAATCAGCTATACATTTAAGGATACTTGGTATTTTACAAACAATACCTTATAAACAAATATACATACACATCTATTGTCAGTTCGTATAACCCTGTTAGCATTCAAGAAATTTTGTCGTCAACAATTCATTTATAAGTGACCATTTCAATAAACCTATATTTCTCATTCAAGTACCATGGTACAACGAATTTACAAACAAGTTTCAATGCACATTCAGTTTTACTATTGTATATTTACATGCAATATTACATAATATCTATCACGCTAAAAGTAAATATAAGAAAGCTACATTGACAACAGATAATTGGTGTACATCCTATCAAAACAAAAAATTACAACTTTAAAAGTTCTACGATATCCGCTTATTGCAACTTCGTCGGTTGTGTCCAAAACAACCACACCGACTGCACTTTCGCAACTGTTTTTTCTACTGTGATTCGAATTGTATTTAAACTTCTAGATATTACTTTTCTAATACACATCTTTACCGTATCTTCATTGATTTGGACACCATTAAGCATTGTTTGAACTAAACACCATTAAATCCTTCAATATTCCGACATCACACATCATAACAAATATTCCTTTATAACAACATAACAAATTGATCTGAAAATTCTCTGTGTTGCACATTCCCTCTATTCATCTCACATACTTCCCCCGTCCGCTTCTAAAGGCCACATTTACATTTTGCGTCATTGTACTTAACATTAAAAATATTCTTATATTTGTATAATTTTTTGTACAAATGTCTTTCGATCAGTATTATAAGACACTAATAGGAGTATTTTTGCAATTTTTTCTTAATTTGTACTATACTTTGATATAATAATAAATATTCAAACATCAACACGCAAAAAGTAAATGAAACCCTTAGAGTCGGACGGAGGTAGTATATAAAAATAATTTGGTAAATAATTCTCACTACAAGTCATCTAATCTTAAATGAGTAGACACACATACATAGGATTACCAACATTAAATACTCCTACTATTTTAAAGATAAACAATAAGCAAATGAAAGGTGTATGTAATTGCTAGTTCCACTTTAGAGCTTCCCTATAATAAGAAATCTGCATGTCTTAAACAACTAGAAGTCTTTACAACAATTTCAATTTTCAAAATGGGTATTCAATCATGGAACTTAGGTAATGTATGATAATCACGTGAATATCAATAAAAGAACGCCAAAAAAAAAAAATCAAATTACACCAACTTTATTTTCACACTCTTTCCTTTGTATCGAAACATATCAATCATAAACAGAAATTAACAATTTTTCATCACTATCTTCAATGATATTACCAAACCAACAATCTTAATACATAAAAACATATGGTTGTGTTTGTTTGTGGGTTTGAATTTATTAATAGTAAAAAGTTAAATTGAATAGTTGTTTGATGTAATATAAATAGAAGAGGATGTGATGTTTTGATGTAAAATAAATTTATAGTATAATATAAAAAAATAATAATAATTATTTAATTTGATATTATGGAGGAAAAAAAAATATAAACAATAAAAATCTTGTGTAAAATTCACAAAAGAACACAACCTACAGTTAGCAACCAACTTTCAATGGTTTTCCATTCTTCTTTATATGCTTACAATCAACCAAAAAATTCTCAAATAAGAAAACACTACTTTTGGTCTAAAACAAATTCATCTCGTTGAACACGAGCAAAAGGCTTCCAGCAATATTTACAACAAAATAATTACTTTGTGTAACTCAAAACCTATCCCTTTGTAATAGATTTTTTTAAAAAAAAAAATCCAAACACAACAAACCAATCCCTCGAGACAAATAAAGAACAGACACTAGGTTTGTCTTCGTGAAGAACTCCTAGAACTAAGCCGGAGCTGGAATTCCATTCTGATCACACAATACAAAGCTGATCAACTCATCTGATCAGATTGAGCTACAAAAAAAAAAAAAAAAAAGGAAAGAAAAGAAAAGAAAAAAACTGAATCAAAGAAATCCCATCACACTAAAAGATCAACACCCGGTGAAAATTTTTCAAACTCCAGCCCACAACGAGCAACAAGTTCACCAAGATTGAATTTCATTGCCAAAATTGATCAATCAATGGAGCAATGGAAGAAAAATTAGAGATCACTAATTGAACTTGAATATCAGCAAACAGGGAGGTAACCAGGCAAAACCATTGCTGCAAAGGCATCCGAAACTTCAACATACAAATCAGCACTTTACCAATATGTGGATCGAGCCATATCCCGGAGAATCCGAGAGATGACAAAATTATTAACTTTGCAAGAATTCCACCGTCGATCTTTGCCTCAGATAGGAGGGGAAGCAAAATCGCATAATGGAGGAACCTGCATAGTGAGAAATGGGTCTTTGAAAGCACTGCAAATTGCCCGACCGAACTGCAGTGTCAATTTTCCGATGGCAGGTTTCTTCCTCGCCGGATTTTAGCTCCGATTTCGTGCAATTTTTAACAATCACTTTTTGGTAGGTAGAGAGAGAGGATCGAGATGGATAGGAGTTGAGATTAAGTGAAATGGAAAAGGAAGAAGTGCAGCATAATTTATTAGTAACGGGGACTGAATGTTAATTCAATTATACAAGGAGAGATTTATCCCCCATTGTCCCTAATTCTTATATATATTAGTATTCCATAACAAAAGCTTCGTTTTTGTATTATCCAATCTCTAATTTTGGTATTGTTACATCAGTTCCTTTGCTCTACAAAAAGGCTAATAAATGACAAACAAAAAATGCATCTAATTTCTTCCATCAAACATTATTCTTCATTTACAAAATAAAATTAAAACAAACCTTTAGCCAACACAAAATTTTCAGTTTAAAATATTACATCAAAGACACATATTTCATTAAAATATAAATATGACATCAAACACATTTTCGTTCCGTAAAAAAATAATTTGGCTTTTAACTTTTACTATTTTCAAACTAAATTTGAAAATATTTAGTACACATGCAATATGCATATCGAAAGAAACAACTACTGATACACACAGGTTTACAATTCCGGCTTAGTTAAAAAAATGGTTGATACTTCAGCCTAGTCATACATTACTAAAGATATGTCTCACTTATTAATGCATTTAATTAAAGATATGCAGAGAATTAAGTTAGGTAACTTGGCTGATCAAAACTGAAAAACATAAGCGAATAAATACTCATTTTCCAGGTAAAGAGTTACCTCACATTTTATCCCCAAGCAGATCAAGAATCAGACAGTGGCATGTTGTAATGCCGCGCTAAATGTTTAGTGGTCCCGTCATCGAAGACACCTTCCAGAAGCTCAAACTTCTTGTAATGAGATTTCAACATTTCACTCTGTTGGTTTCCAAGCTTTTCTTCCTCGATACGTTGTTGCTGCACACATTAGCATTACAGTAAGGGTGTGTCTGTTTGGGAGAAATCCCCAAAATTCTACTATTCATCAATTTTTTTCTCCTAAAAAACATCGAATCAAATACCTATTTTTCATTTTTATATTATACTAAAAATTAATTTTACATTCAAAATATCACGTCAACACCTATTTATTTCACATCATACAACTATTACAACTCAAATTTTTTACTATTCGAAACTCAACTCAAAATCCAAACCTCCAAACAAACACACTCTAAGTACATCATTATTCCGCCCCTCCAGCAGGGTGTGCAAATTCAAAAATCTAAGACTTCCCGGACAATTTCAGAATCTTTTTTGGTTGAAATCAAGAATTTTCTAATCCAGGTAGGAAAAGTTCTGAAGTTCGAAATCCTAAATTCAATAAATCCCAGTCAAAACAAAAAAGACAAAACTGTGGTTATAACCCAAGTGTGTACCTCAAGAACTAGTGATGCTTCTGCAGCATGTCTTCTCACAGTGTGCTTAATTTTCTGGGCTACCTCAAACTCGGGTTCTTTTGGGTCCAACCAACGGCACTCTATTTTCCTGCCTGGTTTCCTAGGACAGTCGTCAAACATCTCCATTTTTGCAGGGTAGGCTCTGACTGGCCGGGGCATTCCAGATATCATGAATGGGAAATTTGCCATCTGAAACACAATCTCTTTCACCTGTTTGGGGGTTTCCATCTCCACCAAAGCCGATTGAGGCATGCTTTTCGACTCAAGATAGTTGGGTGTGATCTGAATACTAATCACATTTCCAAACTGATTGAATGCAGCTTTCAATACTGATTCAGTCACTTGAGGTGCCAAGTTGTCGACATAGATTGTCCTTTTCACCTTCTCCAGGAAAGAGGCATATTCTTCTTCCTCCGATGTGGTGCCCATGAGTTGTCACAGTAATTATACCAAAACTAAACCACGGATAGAAACCTAAGTGTATGAGACAGAATAAAAATTGTTATTTTGATTGAATCAATTTATAAAAAGTTACGGAGATAGGAAATTCGAATGGAAAGGTAATGCAAATAACAGATACACAAACCAAATTATAAAATATTTGAAGGCATATTCACCAGTTTTCCCTATCAATATTGAACATAAATAAGTATACACACACAAATGGAGTTGTATTATAAGCTTGGATATGGGTAGAAACATGGATTAGTTGTGAACAAGCGTAGTTTCTAGGGTTTCAGATAGTGTGCAATTTTGGAACAAAAGTAGTCATTTATTGTAAAATCAACAACTAATTGATTATGAATACGAAAATTGATAAGACATGCAGTATAAATGTATAAGTTTTATAAAAACATGCATGTTTGTAAAATGATTCAGCCTTTCTCTAATCTTTTTCAGCTTCTGAACTAATCAAGACCTCTATCAGGCCATCACATATCTCATCTTATCTGCAATTCACTTAAATATGAGTATATTTAAAGCTGGAATTATCTAGGACCCATCCCAAATATCGGAATATTAGAACCTATTTGGGGGTTGGGCCTATCTGCGACCAGCTGTAATCTGGAGAGCTTACTTGCCTCAGTTGTCTCAGCTCAATTGAGATCGATGGAGACTATTCCAACATGAGCCCCACTGCTCCTAACAGCAGAATGGCACCCCTCATTCCATCATTACAAACACCTAATAATGTTGACACTGTAACTACACATCACTTTGTTTGGTTGTATTTTCTCCCCAAGGTTGTGTTCTTTTGAGGGTTTTAAAGCAGGTTTTTACTATTCAAATTCTTTTTTTCCTCCAAAAATATCACATCAAACAACTACTTCTCTTTTTTCATATTATACTACAAATTTATTTTACATTCAAAACATCAAAGCAACGTATATTTATATCACATCAAACAACTATTCCAATTCAACTTTTTACTATTCAAAAATCCAAACCCACAAACAAACACACCCTAACTGTTTTCACTATTCATCTACAATAATTAATTTAGCCACCAAATCACATCATACATTTATTTTTTATTTAATATATTACATAAAAGAAATATTATATCCATAACATCGCATTAAATATCTATTAAATTTATATCACATCAAAATAATTATTACAATGCAAAACTTCTACTATTCCATAAGCATCAAAACACAACCTTCCAAACAATGGCATCTAGAGTCTCGGTACATAGCTACCCAATCATGTAAGAAGTTTGGTCCATAATTGAGAATGTGATATGTCAACTTTCATACAAAAATCGGCAAACATACATGGTCTCTAACACAGAAGTTATCTTGGATACCTTGATGAGTTCACACACACACATATATATATATGTATATATATAAACATAAAATACTACATGTCAACCCAGCCACATGCAATACAATAAGCACAAATAATTGAATTCTTAAGATTAGGGAGAAGAGTCACCTACTTGATAAATCTTATGTAACCACAGGATATAGATGTATTCCAAAATCGCTGCTCAAGGCACTTCCCAAAGCTGTCAATGCATAGAGCATGAACTCACAATCATGGGGAGGTACAAAACAAAGACATTTTAAATAAAGTAATAGACACTATCATGTAAATCATTCAACATAAAAGTTCAACAAATATGTACATCCAAATCAATAAAAACAGTACCTAAAACGTCCTTTCAACTGACCAACTTAGTCTGTCACATCATATTATATTTTGATCACACCCGCATCACATGCTAACAATAAACCAAAGGCATCTCGTCATCAAAAATATATATATATACCAAAGGCATCTCAACAATTGCTAACTTATGACATATATTCAGTAATTATTGTTCAAGCTACAAGTTCCGACATAATATATACTAAAGTTGTGTTCTTTTGTGGATTTTACCACAAGTTTTTACTATTCAGATTCTGTTTTCCCTCTAAAAATATTAAATCAAACAATTAATTTTTTTTTATATTATACTACAAATTTATTTTACATTCAAAACAACACATCAATATCTTTTTATATCATATCAAACAACTATTCAAATTCAATATTTTACTATTCATAAATCCAAACCAAAAAAACAAACCCACAAACAAACACACCCTAAAATTCTTTTAAGTTTCGCCTCATACTTTAATCATCAAATCTTTTTTCACCAATTAAAATATAGTCGCCAACATCAATATTGAATTGCCAATATATCTGCTCAATTAATAAACTCACTTAAAAATTAACCTTAAATTAAACTCTTCAAATAAACAATTACGTTTCAACTCCAAATTTCAGGGTTGTTTTCCCAATTGTTCATGTTATCTATCCTGAGTTCATTCACAAATCAACTAAATCAAGAAGTGTCCCTGCACAATAAGCTGCTACACAACTCAATTATGCTTCATAATAATTTTGCTGGTCATTAATAGCAGTTAGATCCGCCGTCGACTGGATGTGCATATAATTCAAACCAAAATGTGCAGTCAGTTGGACAAAAACAAAGTCATAATCAATGCTAGAATAAAGGCTCCCATGAAAACAAGTATTATGTACACATAATGTCAATTAATGGAATCAGAAGCAAAACCAGGAAGGAAGGCCAATTCTTCTAAACAAAGTAAGAAAATAATCACTCTTGAGTCTTGAATCATATACAAAAGATCAATATTCACCAAATTAAAGCTAAAAAATAAACAGTTAGCACTAATTCCAGCTTATTGTTTGAGCTGGAGATCGAAGATCAAGTGAGCGAATAGTAGACCCAAACCCATTCAAACAAAGGAAAAATCGAAAGAAACCTCAATGCATGATCGAAGAGTTACCACACAGATACCACAGAAAAACCGAGGTAAAATGATTACAAAACTGATGAAAACCGGCGTTGATTCGCGGTGTTGGAGCGGAACGACGATGGGCGGCGTTGTCGGAGGCTGGAATGTACGATTGATGGAGAGAGGAGGCGTCGTCGATGCTGCGCGGTGGCTGGGAGTGGGACGGTGGCCGAAGTAGCGTAGGCGGGGCGGCAGTGCTCGGACTCGGTGCTAGTTTCATTCGATTAATTCGAGTTTGTTTCTTTTGCTGTGTTAAAAAAAAGGAAAAACATTTTATCTATATACTTTTAATTTTTATATAATACTAGTTTTTAGAAGAATAAAAAAAAAAATGGTCCCCATATAAAATAAAATAAAAAAAAAAAACTCATTAATTCAAATTTATTATAAATAGTCGGAAAAAAATTAATTTTTGTATTAATATAACCGAAGTTTTTCAATTTTGGTTCCAATCTAAAACTTTATCAATTTTAGTCATATTATAAATAACTTTAATCAAGTTTGGTCTCATTATAAATAATTTCAATCAATTTTAGTCACCGTTAAAAAATTAACGAAAATTGCTCATATTGACGTAATTGAGGTAATATGACAGCTGACCTGGAAACTATGGCCATGTACAATTATACACGGCCATGTATATTTCAGTGTACAATTATACACGGTCATGTTGTTAAACGGCCATGTATATTTCAGTGTATAATTATACATGGTCATGTTGTTACAGAGTCGTGTATAATTCTACACGGCAGTGTACATTTCTGTTTTTGTCTAAAATTTTATTTTTTTTTTTATTTTTTAAAAAATATTTTGAATTTAAAATAGTTGATATAATTAAAATAGACAAAATCAATAGTAATCATAATATAATTATCAATTTTAATTCAAATATAAAAATTTATAAGATACATTCTTTTGAAAGATTTTGTAAAAAATTCTATTATTCATAAATATAAATAATAAAAAAAAACATCTTGCAAAGATTCAATTACACAACTATTTTTAATTTTGTATATTATAGTAGTATTAAAAATTAATTTATTATTTCAAAACAATTATATATATCTACGTTGAAATTGTATTGAAATGTAAAATTAATTTTTAATACTATAATATACACTAAGTGAATGTTTTTAAGAGAATTGTTTTTGATAAAAGAGTGAAATTTAACAAAAATATTCCAAAAAACCATATACTCAATTAATATTTATATTTGAACTAAAATTGATACATTTTAATTATGTTGGGATTATTGTTGCTTTTTTCCATTTTAACTATATCAACTATTCTAAATTCAAAATATATTTTTAAAATATATATATAACAAAAAAATAAAATTTTTGACCAAAACAGAAACGTACACAACCATATAGAATTATACATGGCTCTGTAAACATGATCATGTATAATTGTACACTGAAATATAAATGGTCGTGTAACAACATGGGCGTGTATAATTGTACATGGCCGTTTAGTTTCCAAGCCAGTTGCTACGTCATCTCCATTACGTCCACATCAGCAATTTTCGTTAGTTTTTTAACGGTGTGACCAAAATTGGTTGAAATTGTTTAATTGGACCAAAATTGAATAAAATTTGTTTATAATGTGACTAAAATTGATGAATTTTTTTATATTGAGACCAAAATTGATAAATTTTTATTTTATTGGGATCAAAATTGGTTTTTTTTCCTAAATAATTTTATTCAATTCACCTACCACACTGTGTAAAATTAATTTTTAATATAATATAAAAAATAGAGATATTTAATAGGATATTTTTGGAAGAAAAAATTGTTTATATTAAAACTAAAATTTATACAACTTAATTATATTGGAATTACTATTAATTTTATGCATTTTAACTATATCAAATGTTCTAAATTCAAAATATATATTTTTTTTCAAAAAAATTAATAAAAATAAAATTTTGGACCAAAATAAAAAATATATGGCATGTACAATTATACGGTATATATAATTATATACGGTCATATTATTTCCGGATCAACTATCACGTCAATCTCGTCCATATCAGCCATTTTTATTAATTTTTAAACGATGAGACCATAATTAATTTTTTTTCTAGTTTTTATTATAGAAATATGTTTGTAGCATTTTATTATAGAAATATGTTTGTAGCATTGTAATTTTATTATTATAATTATTATTTGTAGGGAAAAATTAAGTTTTGCAATGGTATATGTAGCAAAAATAAATTATACCTACATAAATTTAACTTTGTACATCCTAGCAAATATTATTTTTGATCATTCTTAGAACAACAATAATTGTTCATCATAAATTTTCAAACAATTGGTGTTTTGTAAATTAGCTCTTTTGAATAAAAAAAATCTCATTTCTAAAAAAAATAATAATAATTTTAGAAAAGTTTTTTTTTTTACTTTAATTTTATTTATTCTTATTTGGTTTTAAAAATTAATAATTTATTCCATACATATAAATATATTTTTATTGTTGTATTTAAAAATTATTTTTAATATATTTTATTTACTTAACTATAATTTATAAATTTAAAATAATTACTATTATTAATTATTATATACAAATTATTTTATTTATAAAATATATAAATCTATTAAAATTATATCAAATTAAAAACACAAATATTATTAATTTATATATATTATATAAAATTTACATTAAAACTAAATAAAATAAAATAATATAATAAATTAGTCAATTATTAACATAATAAAAATATGTGTACGAAAAATTTATAATTTTGCATTTTACATTCAATAAAAAAATTCTCAAATTTTAGAAAATATATATATATTTTATAATACTTTTATAATTTTCAATAATTAAAAAAATTTTAAAAAATTCTAAATTAAAAAGAATAAAATTGAATATTTTAAAAAAAATTACATATAAAATATTAATATTAGACAAATATTTTAACAAACATTTTAATATAAATAGTTAATTAAATCAGTTAGTCAAACCGACTAATTGAATTGGCTAACAAATAAAAACTAATTGAATCATATTAGTTAATCGCTAAAAACTACCAGCTAATTGTCAAATACACCATTACATAAAAATTTGTTCAATAGCTTTAATTACTATGGTTTGAAGAGAAAATGCGAGATAAAAAAAAATGAGGAGAGAGAGAAAAGCGAGAACACGATGACGGGCGGAGGCTACAATACTGAATTTTAACTGTGCTGACAACATACTGCAACACACGGTGTGCTGTCAAATAGAACACGATGTTATTACCGGCAAAACAAAGTCTGCATTCATATAATATAAATACAACACATGAACTAATAATGCATGCTATAGTTTTATAAACCACAATCAATATTTAATTTCAGTATACCACATACTGTTATACAACACACTTGTATTATGAACTAACAGCACATGCTATAGTCTTATACAACACAAATTCTAATTGATTTCAACACACAACATACTGTTATACAACACACTATAATTATGAAACAACATCATTTGTCATTATTATACACAACATCACTTGTGTATATTAAGACTTTGTATTGTTTCTATATATTACGAGTGTTAATTTAAAAAATCAGCACGATACTAATTTTTCCAATTCAGCATCCTAACCGTTCCAAAGTGGAGAAAAGGAAAATGAAAAGGAAAGAAAATGTGAGATAGAAATCAGAGTGAGAAAGAGAAAATAGACTTAAAAAATCCTTGGCATGCACAAATAGGATTCTAAGCATTTTAATTATGTCCGTTTTAACTAAGAGTTACCGTGTCACGTTTTCTTAGATTCATTAAAAAAAGACACCCTCTCTTTCAATAACATCATCATTAATTATGTCTTTTTTAATTAAAAGTTATTGTAAGGGACGACTTGGTGGTGTGGGGGTTGGACGTGTGACCGTGAGGTCATGGGTTCAAAGCTTAGTCTAGTGTGATTTGTCTGTCGGGCCTAATTTGCAGGGTGTGCACTTTCGGGTAGCGACTGCGGGCAGGGTATTAGGTTCGACCGAATGTTTACCCAATATGCACTCTTGGGTAGCAACTGCGAGTTTCCACGTCATAAAAAAAAATAATAATAAAAAACCTATTGAGCATAAATGATAAGTCAAGGAGATTCCTCTTTTTTAAATATATTTAGTATAGTTATATCTACTTTTTTTATAATTTTTTATATTAATGATATATTATTCATTACACAATAATATATATAATTTTTTTAAATTTTAAAATAATAAATTTGATATAAATATAAATGTATATGTATTTATAAATTATGTATGTAAAAGATCAAACTATACTTATATAAGTTTAATATTGTACTTAATATAAATAAGCATGATACTTTTGTTGTTCTTTGACTTATACATGAAATTTAAGACATTTGTACTTTTAAATTTAAATACTTCTTGCTACTTTGTCCAATTTAGATTAGTTATAATATTTTAGATATTGTGGAATTAATGAATAATTAAAAAACTATATTAGTAAAAATAATTATAATTTAATAAAAATAATTTTAGATTAAAATTAAGATTACTAAATAATTTAATAAAATAAAAAAAATTATAAATTATGGATTTTAAAATATGATTAAAGTGTATAATTCCATTTTCAAAAGAGGAAATAACAAATTAGATGGAACAGATAGAATAATATTTTATTAGTTTATTTAAACTGTATTATATTACACACATCCATATATATATATATATATCTTCAAAGTGCACAAATCCAACAATTAGTAAAGTATTTGTATCGAAACATTAAATCCTGAATAATTATACCTTTAAGAAGAACAAATTATATCTATATAAGTTCAATATTGTATCTATTATAGAGAAATATTGTATTCGATCTTTTTTTAGGGCAATCACAACAACACATCTATGGTGTCGAGATACTTTCTCTTTTTTCTACCTAAGCACCACATCACAAATACTCCCTCCGTCTTAGATACCGT